ATCCTTGAGATAAGCGAACTGTGGGATTTGCAACATCTCACGTTACCGTTTCGTTCATTGTATTAGACTCATTTTTCACTCATTTTCAAATGTTTCTTAAACATAACTCTTTATCGTGTAAGAAAATCTACTTTTCACAAATCTGTAATCCTGAGTAACCAATACTATGGCCAAATGAATGTTTTGAAGCAACATTTACAGACAATAAAAATATGATTACACGAGATAAAATGCCCCTACGGACTTGCAACACTAAAATCCGAGGTCCGATTTTATTCGGTGGACACAGCAGATAGCGAAATGTGGCTTTGCTCTAAAACAAACAACAAGATAAAACTCTATATTTCAATTGTAAGCTTATCTTTCACCTTAATCATGTTTACTCTTAGTTACATGATACATGTATTTTGGACTTAATTTTACAATCATAAAGTTTTTCGTTTGAAAAAAGAACTTTTTAACGTAATCACTTATTGCCATGGTTAGTATCCTACACAATCACTTATTATTAGTTATTAGTAACGACTTCATTATTTAATTCAAAAATACAATAACAACAACTTACCTGATGATGACTCGACGCTATAGGGTCGACACGTTTTAATTATTAAAATCAGAATTTGTCTGTTAAAGGTTGCTGTTATTGTATTTTGAATTAATTATTCAGTTCTGTAGGCTTCTCATTAAATATTAAATTGCTTTTGTTCAACAACTAGACACTGATTACTAACTGTTTTATCCTACGTTTCATCTGCTATCCTGCTGCCGTCTTTAGGAAAGTCCTGAGAAGGACATTCGGAACGTTTTTAAGAAAGTTTAGCTGAAAGTGTTAATGGGCGGGTAGATGCAGTATTCTTCATTCATATCTCATTTTTTCGTATTCTTATCTTATTATTTCAGTTAGGCCCAGCATGGCTAGGTGGTTAAGGCGCTTGACTCGCAATCTATCGTTCGCGGGTTCGAATCCTCGTCCCACCAAACATGCTCGCACTTTTAGCCGTGGGGGCGTTATAATGTGACGGTCAATCCCACTATTCGTTCGTAAAAGAGTAGCCCAAGAGTTGGCGGTGGGTGGTGATGACTAGCTGTCTTCCCTCTATAGTCTTTCACTGCTAACTTAGGGACGGCCGCAGATAGCTTTGCGCGAAATTCAAAACAAACAAACAAACAAATTATTTCAATTTATCGTAACCTTTCTTTCTTCCTGGCATAATGGGCTATTCCAGGTAGGGCACTATTACCAAGTCTATTAAGCCTATAACACCTAGCTTTTGTTGGTATTTTGTTTCTCTAAGTATTGCAATCCCCATTCACAAGAGTGTATTGTATATAGTGTTTTCTTCCTTTTTCCTCTTTGTTGGGTCTATAGATTATTTGGTGTGCACTAACTGGGATCATGTTTTGTTGTGGCTTCTTAACAGTTGTCTGACTTTGTTCTGTTTATATATCCCCTGGCGGTAGGTTTTGAAACATAATAGAAGATCATTGTTTGTTTATAATTTTCTCCTTGTTTATCCTTGGGGTTAATTTTTATTTTCTTCCTTGCCGAGTGTTCACGGAATCCATTATTGACAAGGGTTGTAGTGGTTGGTTGGTTTTGTTTTTCTAGATACTTTTTTTTTTTTTACAATGTCACGTATCTCGGTCCTTCTAAAAATTATGGTTCATGACGCATGACTTTACATTGTTGAGGTAGTTGGAATTGTAGTCGACGTATGTGCCTGTTCCTGTAAACTCCTGTGGAAACATGATATAAAATAATAGGATATGAATCACACACGAAGAGGGAAGCTTTTTACATGTATCTAACAGATAACACAGACCCAGTAGACTAGAGACATATACCAAAGAAGACTATGGTCTTGTGGTAATGATCTAAAATAATAGGATATGAATCACACAAGAAAAGGAAAGGGAAGCTTTTTACATGTATCTAACAGATAAGATAGACTAGAGAGAAGGAAACCAGTCAACACCATCCCCCGCCATCTCTTGGGCTACTCTTTTATCAACGAATAGTGGGATTAATCGTCACCTTACAACGCTCTCACAGCTGGAAGGGCGAGCATGTTTGGTGAAGAGTATTCGAATCCGGGACTGCAGATTGGGAGTCAAGCACCCTAATCACAAGACCATGGTCTTCTTGGGTATATGTTTCTAGTCTACTGGGTCTATGTTATTTGTTAGATACATGTTAAAAGCTTCCCTTTCCTTTTCTTGTGTGATTCATATCCTATTATTTTAGATCATTACCACAAGACCATGGTCTTCTTGGGTATATGTCTCTAGTCTACTGGGTCTGTGCATCAGAGGAGCAAAAAAAGACTGTCTCAAGTCTTCAGTACTCTTCTTTACCTAGATTTCATTACAGTGAATTGCTAATTGTTAATTTGGCCTCACTTAATACGTGATGGATGAACTATACAGATTTCTATATCTTACAAAACAGTAGATATCCAATTAGTGATGGATTACACATACTCCTTTCTGCAGAGATTACATGTAAGCATAAGTTTAAATACTTATGATAAGGTTCTGCAGATCGGATATCAATCGCGGCTGTACACTATACGCTCACCAAAGTAAAATCGTCAACTTGACACTTTTGTTTTTGTTATTTAAATACTTACGATAAGGTTCTGCAGATCGGATATCAATCGCGGTTGTACACAATACGCTCACCAAAGTATAATCATCGACTTGACACTTTTGTTTTTGTTATTTAAATACTTACTTTTCATTCACTGTCTCGTTTCGGCTGATGATCTTCTGCTGTCTTCAGGAAATTCCTGAGAAAGATTATGTATACGTTTGGAGTGGCCTGGATTCGATTCTTGTTCTTATTGGGTTTGGTTTTGAATTTTGCGCTAAAATACGCCAGAAATATCTGCACTAGCCATACCTACTTTGGCAGTTCTTGTACTTAATCAGTCGAATTCATTATACCGATTTATTCTGGAAATGTGAGCATGTTTCAATTTGCCTTGATTTCATTTAGATTACTTTTAGTTTAATTTACCAAATACAAGTGAAAAGTTGAATCTCTCCTCAATTGAAAATACATAAAGAAAAGTAATTTTTCCACTAACGCTGAATTAGTCTGTGAAATAATTTACTAAATAATATAACTAAGTTTTAGAAAGTATTTTTCAATGATAACCTTTTTTTTTCTATTCCGGAAACCACTATGAAAATCATCGTTAGAGTTAAAGACCTAATTCCCGCATCAGTAATTTAACATGTTAATTTCTATTTGTTACTGTATAATAAGCTTTAAAATATTGATTTGCTAGGCCTACGATATAATAATGAATTTATTCGAAAAATCAAAGTGGAATTACCATATGTTGCTAACTTATGTACTGGAAAACAAACAACATATGCAATATATTCAACAGCTCTGAATTTAAATAGATCCACATTCGCATACTTAGCTTGCAAACTAGGCCTCATATGCAGGAGCTCTCACAGCAAATTAGCGTTAAACTTGAAAACTCATTATTAATAACATTGCATTGTACATTGTCACATTATAATCAACTGTTATCGATTACAATAATCTTATAATGATTATGTATAGTAAAGGATATATGGTCTGGGAAAATAATTGAACTGTACCAAACGGCTGTTACTATTAAATATTTCCTAGAAACAGTTGACTTATCAGAAAATGAGAAATTAACGCTTGCTTACAATGTGTTACTTAGGTTCAGTTAGCGACAGCTAATGTTTCAACACAGATATCCGCGACTCCCATACATTTACGTTCTTACAGTTATAACTAAAAGTCGTGAATCAACATTTTTTTTTTGTACAGCGTAATCACACAGAAAATGTTTCTCGTAAAAGACATAGCAATGATGTTGTACTTTTATATTAAAGTACACGTTAGCAGTAGAACCCCATAGTCCTGAGTTATTTCATACATGACATCACAATTTATATTAATTTACCAAAGCTGAACAGATATAATGAGATTTGGTATCAGAGCATGCAAGTACACGTGCGTTGTAATGATATCGTGAGAACCAAAAGATTTATAACTAATAGAGGGAGTGAAATAATGTAAATATCAGATTCTCGAATAACGCACAACCCTAACATTTCAGCGAATCAGAGTAAGATATAATCTGAAACGTTAGCTCTATGTGCCTGACTTCATTTGACCTGTTAGATTTCTTTTATGCGATGATAACTGATTGGCAACTCGTTTATAATAATAATAATAATAAT